TGTGGGATCTTCCCGGACCGGGGCACGAACCCGTGTCCCCTGCATCGGCAGGCGGACTCGCAACCACTGTACCACCAGGGAAGCCCGCCACAGACTATTTTTAAAAATAATTCTGTATATAACTCCAACATATAAAACAAGTCAAAATGGAGCTTCTTGGTTGAGGTAGGGGGGAGGACCGGGGTCTCCAGCTGTCTGCCTGTGATTCCACACAGCCTCCTGTTTAGTAAGCACTGTGGGAGGGGGCGCCAGGGAGAAGACGGGGACCCTGGAGGGGGCAGAGACACGGCTGCTGTACCTGCAACAGTTAGAGCTGGAAAGGCTGCCAGGAAATATAGGTGCTGGGCTGCGTGGCACAGACCCTGACAGGCTACAGATGTCATAGGTGGGGACCTAGCTGGGGCTGGGAGTTGCTCAGGGAGGTGACCAAGTGAGGATGGTGGGGGGCAGTCAGGTGTAAGCTAATGGTGACAGTGCAGCCTCTGAGGTGGGGTGGGCAGGCTCCATCAGGCAGTGACCTCCCACAGCCCTATCTGGAGCTGCACTTGGTCCTGGGCAGTGGAATCCAGTCCTTGGGTCCGCAAGGGCATCCAAACACACACCCTTCTGCAGGGATGCAGGTTGGTGGCTTGGCCGGGCTAGATCTTGGCACCCAGAGTCACTGGTGCTGAGGTCTTATACAGGATCCTCCTTGGTTGAGTCCCTGATTCTGTCTTGGCTGCACTCGTTGTCCCCATGATCACATTTCTACCTTCGGTAGTGACTCTGCTCTTGGCTGGGGCCTTTGTGTGACAGCTGGGGCCTTGTTTAGCTGACCAGATACCCTGGGTGGTAGATTGCCTGTGATGTTCAAGGCATCATTAATACCTCTGGCCAAGAGCAGTGGTTTAGGCATAATTTCTTGGGCTTCCCAGGTGCTTCTGGTGGCCAGAGCCATTTGAGGCCAGTTTAGAAACATCAGATCTCCCAGCTGGTTCCCATGGATCACTATTATGATGAAGACAGCAAAGGGCTGCTTATCACACATACCCTCTGGTCCTCATCCAGGTGGTTGTGCCAGGGGTGGAAAACCCTGGAGTCATCACCAAGCCAGCTTTCCTTCCTCATTCCTCACCTGGACCACAGAGCTCCCAGGTGCCATACAACTGTTTAGGATGGAACAGCCAACACCTGGCACCATGGCCAGATGTCCGCCTAACCTGCCCCAGTGTCAGACATCACTAATCAATCACAGCTCTCTTCCCCATGAGCCCAATGAGGACTCATGATTTTTCTGGAGCTGGCACTGGGATGCTAGTTGTGATCTGTGGCATTCGTTCATTCACAGACACGTTAATGAATGATGGTTAACAAACAGTAACTGAGTATAACATTTATTGAGCTGCTGTTATACGAGGAAAGAAAACATGGTCCCTGCCTCATCAAGAGGAACTCTGAGTATGGTAGACAGACCCAGGAGTGGCTTATTACTTTATTAGGCTGTAAGTTGGAGAGCAGAGTTAGAACTCCCTTCTTCAAGAGCCCTAACCACTGAGAGTGTCAGAGAAGGACAAAGGTCTCTGTGCTGCCAGGGCTCTTTGCGTGTACACTGTGATGTCAGGGGTGGACGGCAGGGCCACGGAATGTGTCGTCTCATCTGAGTCATGGGACAAAGCCCGGTCAGAGACCCAGCCCTGGTGATCCATCCTTACTAGCGCCTTCTCTCCCACAGGAGGAGGGGCTGAAGGCCAATAACTCCAAAGAGTTAAGCATGTGCTTCACAGAGGTGAGTGAGGGCCTGAGGGGTGGTGAGTGCCGGGGGCTGGGCCAGAGTGGGTTGTTTTCCAGGAGTGCCTTGGACTTGAAGCTCCCAGATTCCATTGCATGGTCTGGGCTGGCTGAGCTTCTGGCCCACCTGGACCTGGGTAGGTGCTCACTCTGTTGGGGGTGAGGGTGTGTGGGTGTAGATATTGCAGCCAGGGCCCTTACTTGTCTCTTGGGTGAGACGCAGGAGGCTGCTCCGAGCAGAGGTCCTGGCAAGCCTTCCTGACTCTTTAAGACAGGTGTTCCTAGCAGCCTGCTCTGTGCTGGTTCTGTGACATTGAGGAGGTGGAATGATGGCACAGGACGTGGGCGCTTCCTTGAAGGAGCCCCAGCACAGGAGTAGGTCTGTGACTGTGTATATGTATAGCATATATATAACTTAGAGGAGAAGAAAAGTTAGTGAAAGAGTCTGCAGAAGGAGGGAGAGTTCAGACAGGGGTGTGCAGCGGAGGCTCCGTGGAGGAGGGATTCCTCCACGTGGAGGAGGCTGCACTGTCTCCTCCACGGAGGAGGGATTCCAACAAACTTAGGAACCCAGAGAACGGAGCTTCTCTCTTCACCCCTCGCCTCCCCTCCCTTCCTCTCTCCAGCAGCAGGTCCTGTGGACCCCGGGACTTTCTTCCTTTAGATCTTTATACCATCCCCATCCTCACTGGTCTGCATCAGCCAGGCAGGGAGAGTAGCCCGTTGCCCTGGGGGCTGCTGCCTTGTACCCCGAGTAGTCAGCTGAGGCACAGCCCAGCTCCATGGAAGCCGGGCTCTGCGAAGAGGGTCCCCTGGGTGACCAGGAGGGCAGGGGCCTTAGTGCTCCACTTCAGAGTCTTTTTTTTTTTTTTTGCCTGATCCCAGCCCTACTGACTCGTTTCTCCTTCTCTCTGCTTCCGTTCCCGCTTCTGCCTGGCCACAGCTCACGACCAGTATCATCCCAGGGAGTAAAAGGGTGGTCAAACCTAACTCAGGCCCCCGCAGAGCCAGACCATCGGCTGCCTTGACCGCTGTCTCCTTCCTGATGCTGAAGCTGGCCTTGTAGGCTCTGGGAGATTTCCGAAAGCTACACGGACGAGAACACCCGCCTGACAAAATGGAAACACACACAGACACACACACAGACACCTTGCAAAAAAAAAAAAAAAAAAAAAAAAAAAAGCCCCCCGGGGGTTTTTAAAATTTTTTAGGGGGAAGTGGGGAAGGGGTAAGGGTTTTTC